AGAAGAAACAAGGGGGCCAGGCCCCGTGGGCCCCATGTTAGCCTCCTCCTCCTCCTCCTCCTCCTTCTTCTTCTTCTTCTTCTTCTGAGGCTAGGCTCAGGACAGACATCACCAGGCAACTGTTTGTCTTACTGAATACAGCACTAGAGCTACGTGAAGCAGGCACACACATTCTTGACGTAACATCTCCTAAATGATGTTAGCAGCAATTGTGATATTAGCAGAATCCAGACAGGGTTCAGGTATTCAGTGTTCCGTCTAAGCTGAGTTAGTGTGAGCTAGCTCACAGTTTTTTAGCCTCTGCCTCACACGTTTTTCTCTTAACTCGGGAAGGGTGGCTCCAGGACAAGCTAATTTATGCAGTAGCCAAATCGCTCGCTCAGGGGTCATTTTGTAGAAAAAGAGGTGCAGGAGCTAATTAGCATAACTCATGCTAATTTGCATGTGCCACACCCCATGACACCACCGGAAGTGTGTCAGAAGGCAACACCCACCGCTCAGGCTCCACTGGACTATTTTGGATTGCTAGCTATGGGGGGTGTGTGCAGATCTGTCCTCGCAGAGGAGGGAGAGCTTGTACCTGAATAATAAAACTTGGTCTTAAAGGTGCCACTGGACTGTTTTGGACCCGGGGGGCCAGGGGGGGCTCTGCAACTTACCTGGCTGCAGCTTTCTCTGACTGAGGGCTGCTGGGAGCAGGGGGCGGGGCTTGTTGCATGTGCCCGCCCCCTGGGCTCTTTACTGCCGGAGCTCCGCTCCTGTGCGCTCCTGCAGGAAATGACCCCTGCGCTCGCTCACAACTTTAATGCCAGGAGCTCACAAAGTAGAATTTTTGCTCACTAGACTCCACAGCTTAGAGGGCGCATTGTTCAGGACATACGAAGATTTTAAGGCTCAAAATGGATATGTTTTTTTCACTCATTTCTCCATCAGGAGACGGGGTGTTCCCTTCCATCATAGGCTATACTTGATAGAAAATGTCCACCGTAACCCTGCTGACCTTCCCCAACCATGGACTATCCTGGACGGGAACATGTTCCGCCCTCCCTTACCGGATTCACAGCCGAACTGTGTGAGCCGATTGACAGGGCTGGGTGATGACCTCGGCTAGTAGCCACCAGTCTGGCTGAGGGGGGTGTCGCTGACACGTGCAGAGAAGTCAAAATACAGAGAAACAGAAGCTTAGCTAGAATTTTCCTCTAAGAGGGACCGTCTCTTGACAGCTGTCTAAGAAGCCCCGCAGGTTAGCATCGTCGAACCTGGGCCTCTCGGATCCAGGCACAGAAAACGGTGCCAGTGCGATGCATCCGTTCTCTTCAGATATCGACCGTTCCTTTTGCAGAGCGCTCACATGGACGGCCACAAGAAGAACAGCGTGCGGCACAAACTGGTATCCCTGACGCTCAAGAAGAAATCCAAGTTAACCGAAGAGGTGAGCTCCGGTGTTCTTTGCACGTCCTGGCAGCTCGCGTTCTCCGCTCGCCGTTCTGCAGGGCTTCTGATTGTCTTCTGCTTTTCCCCTCCCTAGACGCTAAGTACCACCAGATCTCCGATGGGCTGGGGACTGCCTGTCTCTCTCTGGTGTCTGAAAGTTTTAAAAGGAGACAAGGTGGCTCCCCGGCATCGCCTTCTTTAGCCCCATGCCGCCACGTCTTTGCCTCTTTCCGCGTAAGAACAGTTTCCGTCCCGTTTGCCAACTCACGCAACCAAGCAACTCACGCAACCAACCAGCCTTTCCGTTTTGTTCTTGCAAAGTCCATGTTGTTGGCATAGACTTGCAGCTTGGACCAGAAGAAAGGGTGGATCAGCAGTAGCCTGGGCTAGTGTGGACTAGCTGCTAGGGGTTTAGGGGCGGGGAGGACAACAGCCAGGGTTTTGGCTTGGGGATGATGAGTCTAGCTGGTGGAGGGAAAATGAGCAATAGCACGTATTGCACATATGTAAATAATTACCCTAAAAGGAGCAATAGTACCTATTGCACTATGCAAATAATTACCCTAAAAGTAGCAATAGCACCTATTGCACATATGCAAATACTTACCCTAAAATGAGCAATAGCACGTATTGCACATATACAAATAAGTTACCCTGAAATTAGCAATTAGAAATTGCTTCCTGACCCCCAAGTAGCGATCAGCATTTCCCTGGGCATGTAAGAAAGGGCCTCGAGAACTAAACACTGATGGCAACCCCCTTCCTGCCCTCCCTCTCATATGTAAGTTCCTGCTTCTTTGGGGGGAGGGGGGGGTTCTGTCCTGCATATGTCCATAGTGGTTACAGGCTTACTTAATTAGAAAATACTGGACATTTATAAATCCGGTATTTCCTCATTTTATTTATTTTTTTTGCTGTCAAGTCAAAGCTGAATTACAGCAAGCCTGTGGGGTTTTCATGGCAAGAGACGTTCAGAGGTGCTCTGCCAATGCCTGCTTTTGCGTCACATCCCTGGTATTCCCTGGAGGTCTCCCATCCAAATACTAGCCAGGGCCAACCCTGGCGTAGCTTCTGAGAGTTGACAGAATCGGGCTAGCCTGGGTTTCCAGGTCAGGACTTTGGCCATGGTTACAGGCTTACTCAATTAAAAAAAATACTGAACATTTAAAAGTCCAGTATTTTTATTTATTTCTTCACATCTCACATCTCTTCACTTTATTTACAATTTTCATTTCACATTTTCCTCACTTTATTTACTGGACAGAAAAGGGAAATACTGGACTGTCCAGTTCAAAAGGGACCCCGGGCCACCCTGTCCGTTGCTCTTCACAAGAGTTCCGATGCGTTCAACCAATGCTTGGGGGAGAAAAGCATCGGTTCTCAAGAGCCTGGCTTTGGTGGCAGCAGTGTGAGAATATCTGTAGGTGGCAGATGAGCGAGAGATTAACTTCACACGCACCCATTTCGCCCTTCCCTTGTGGTTTGCTTAGGTGACCAAGCGGCTTCACGACGGCGAGTCCACCGTCCAAGGCAACAGCATGTTGGAGGACCGGCCGACTTCAAATCTGGAAAAACTCCATTTCGTTATTGGTAATGGCATCCTCAGGCCAGGATTAAGGTTAGACATGTTGGAAATGTATGTGTTTACAAGGTCTGACAATTCAGTCATTATAGGGTTAACTTGTTTGCCTAGTATTGCTATTGTTTAGATTGACCTGGAAGGGATACCTAGCACTGAGCCAATGGGGAATTAGCCCGGGAAAAATAGCTTTCTACTGTGATACAGATTGGTCGTTTGTTCCAGGTGACTTCTTTTCTAGGGGTCAAGAAGAAGGAGAGATTCTCCATTATCTGTGTGCTAGGTTTGACTATAGGCAGCTTAGAAAATGTAGCTGTTAGTGTTATGTTTATTTGTAGTAATCCTGTATACCTTTTACCCTTAGAAATAAAGGTTTTTAAAAGCAAAGAAATCTCTTCTTTCCAATAGAGCAAGATCCACTTTTGACTATTTTACAAGACATTAGTATGCAAACCATATGATGTATGGGGATTTTGTTTTTGTTTTTTGAAGAAGGTCTGAAAGACCGTACTGTTCTCTTGAAAGTCCTGATTCTGGCAAACTGGGCATTACAGGCTGCGGTCACACACACTAAATAATCCACTTTCAATCCACTCTCATTGCACTTTCCAACTGGATTTTTACTGTGTGAACTGGCAAAATCCAGTTGGAAAGTACATTAAATGTGGATTATCTAGTGTGTGTGACCGCAGCCACAGTGTCTTCCCCTTTCTACAGTTATTAATACTTTTATTCTGCCTTTTAAGATTTTGAGTCCTCACTGTAGTACATACAAGTAAGCCCAACTGAAATCAACGGGAACCAGGGTGAAACCGGATTAGTGCTAGGGGGGTTTCTGCATTATTTCACTGGCTTGTAAATTCCTTTTTCTTTAGGGTTCCCCCCCCCTGTTCTGAACATGTTTTGCTCCATCTAGTGGTTGATTTGATATTACACCGGTTATGTCCAGCAAATCTCCCTATGGATTTAAACTGCATGTTTTTATTGCAGACATAAACCAGTGTAATATCCAATCGACCACTAGAGGGAGCAAAAACATGCAGAACAGAACCCCTGGCTTGTAAATTCCTTTTTCTTTAGCGTTCTCCCCCTCCCCCGTTCTGAACATGTTTTGCTCCATCTAGTGGTTGATTCGATATTACACCGGTTTATGTCCAGCAAATCTCCCCGTGGATTTAAACTGCAGGTTTTGATTGCAGACATAAACCGGTGTAATATCCAATCGACCACTAGAGGGAGCAAAAAACATACAGAACAGAGCGGGAACTTACGAAGGAGGAAACTGAGAATGCAGAAAAGCCCTGTGATAGGATATTCCCAGCATTTATTTGTAAAGTTTGTTTGTGGTCCTGCAGAGCCCCTGTTCAGATATTGGCTGCACCTCTGCAAGGTTTTGCTTATGAAAACTGCCCACCCCACAGTGTTCTTAACCCCTGGATGGTTAAAAAAGACAGGGACCTTCTTTCTGACTCCCTTCCCCCCCCTTTCAGCAAGCTGGTTTTGACAGAAGAAACCACATAGGAGTAGAAAACTTAAGAAAACCAATACACATAACCAGTGTTCCCTCTAAGCTGAGTTAGTGTGAGCCATCTCACAGATTTTTGTCTCCGCTCATGGAGGAGGGCTCCAGAGCAAACGAATTGATGCAGCAGCCAAATCGCTCACTCGCAACTTTAATGCCAGTAGCTCACAACGTAGATTTTTTTGCTCACAGCTTAGCGGGAGCATTGCACATAACCCTCCCTGAGTAGCATCAACCGTGCTAAGCTGCGACAGGCTGCTGTTATTCCCATTTTACAGGGTAAACCCTGAAGGCAATATACTTGTAATGCCTTTTATTAGGACTAATCAAATGAACACAAAACACCGTGCAAGACAGTCACTTGCCTGAAGTCATCAGGTTTTCGAACATCTGGTTCCCAGGGTTTAGTCCAGCCCACATTTTGTAGACACCCACCACTTGCTATTCTTTCTGCTGTGGTCCCATTGATAGCATCAGTTAAGGCACATCAAGGAAGAAGAAGAAGAAGAAGAGTTGGTTTTTATACCCCACTTTTCTCTACTCTATGGAGTCTCTACTCTTTTTTCCACCCTAAGGAGCTTGCAATCGCCTTTTCCTCCTCTCCTCACAGGAAGCATCTCGTAAGTTAGTTGGGGCTGAGAGAGTTCAGAGAGAGAATGGTGATTGGCCCAAGGTCACCCAGCAGGCTTCAGGGGGAGGAGGAGTGGGGAATCAGACTTGGTTCTCCAGATGAGAGTCTGCTGCTCTTAACTACTGCACCACGCTGGAGATGTTTTCCACAGGGACGGTTCTCACCGCACCTGCAGTTGTATTCCGCCGCTGCTTTCCCTCGTTTCTGCAGATGTTTTTGCAGTCCCAGGAGCAAGAACGCAGTTTTCCCCCTCTTGTGGCGCAGCATGGGAATTCCCAGAAACAGGACAAAGTGCATCTTTGCTCCTGGGACTGCAAAAACATCTGCAGAAACGAGGGAAAGCAGCGGCGGAATACAAGTGCAGCCGCGGGGAGAACCGTCTCTGCGGAAAACGTCTCAGTGCATTCAGTGCTCAGAACTGATTGGTACAGGACACTCGGTTGGTGACTTCGGTTGGCAGCCAGTGACTTCGGTTGGCAGCCAGGAAAGAAGACCTGAGAGAATCAGTAGAACGCCCACGTGGCATTCGAGTTGTCTTTTTGGCAATGTGCAGATCCCGACAGATTTCCAGATCCACCTGGACCACTTTGTGATTGTGGATTCTCCCGGTGCCAAACCCAGGGAGATTTAATCCAAGTCTGCCTGTCGTTCTTCCGTCAGGGATGAAATTTACTGTCAGATCTGCAAGCAGCTGGCTCAGAACCCTTCCAAAAGCAGCCACGCCAGAGGATGGATCCTCATGTCTCTATGCGTGGGGTGCTTCGCCCCGTCGGAAAAGTTTGTCAAGGTAAACAAAAGAGTCGGGGGTGTGTGTTTGTGGAACAGAATTACCTACCGCTTTGGTCTTTGCCTCTAAACGTACCTGTTCCCTCTGGTCATCTTTGGAGGCCTTGTTTTGGTTGCCTCCGCCACCTAAGAACATAAGAACATAAGAGATGCCAATGTTGGATCAGACCAAAGGCCCATCCAGTCCAACACTCTGTATCACACAGTGGCCAGAAATACCAGGTGCCATCAGGAGGTCCACCAGTGGGGCCAGGACATCTGAAGCCCTCCCACTGTTGACCCCCCCAAGCACCAAGAAGCCAGAGCATCCCTTGCCCCAGAGCCCCTATCTATACCTTGTGGCTAATAGCCACTGATGGACCTCTGCTCCATATGCTTATCTAATTCCCTTTTGAAGCCGTCCATGCTTGTAGCCGCCACCACTTCCTGTGGCAGTGAATTCCAAGTGTTAATCACTCTTTGGGTGAAGAAGTACTTCCTCTTATCCGTTCTAACCCGACCGCTCAGCAATTTCATGGAGTGCCCACGAGTTCTTGTATTGTGAGAAAGGGAGAAAAGTACCTCTTTCTCGACCTGCTCTTTCCCATGCATAATCTTGTAAACCTCAATCTGAGGCTAGACAGGTGGCAACCTGAGGAAGGGCCTTCTCGGTCACGGCACCAAAACTCTGGAACTCCCACCCCAGGGAGATGCGTCTGTCTCCCTCTATGGGTGTCTTCTGCCAGCGAGAGAAGACCTTTTTTTGTTTGTTTCATTTGACATGCCCCCAATAATGGTCATCGGCTCCCCTCTGGTATTGTTTGTTATATTTTTGTGTTGAGTTATTTTAACATTTTCAATGTTGCTTTTAAGTGTTCAAATGTTTTTACGTGCGCTGCCGTGGGGACCCTGATCGGGTGGAAAGGCAGCATAAAAGCGTTTTAAAGGAATACATGAAGCAGTGCTACCGACCGTGTTTTTCGAAAATTCACGGCGATAGCCGAAGTCCTCGTTGCATCGTTACTTATTTATTTCCTTCGATTTGTTCCCCTCAATTCTGTTCCATGCGTTGTCTCGACAACAGTATTTGAGGAACTATATCAACGGGGGGCCCCCGGGTTATGCTCCGTATTGCGAAGAGCGGCTCAGGAGGACGTTTGCGAATGGGACCAGGACTCAGCCCCCGAGCTGGCTAGAACTTCAGGTAAGAAGGAACCAGGTCATCTTTCGGAATGCCACTAGGGGTGCCAGAACCCCCCAGTGGGGGCAGGGGTCCCCCACCGCCAGGCCCTACCTCTCTGCCACCAATCAGCTGGCTGATGAGGGGGAAACCCATCATTTCAGTGACATGCCTATGTGACTTCGACATGACCTGGAAGTGGTGTAGGCCTATTAGGGATGTCGAGGTGACGCTCTGGTTTTTGGGCAAAACTCTATGGTAGAGTTAGTTTCTACCATAGAGTTTTTTCCCAAAAACCAGAGCGTCGCCCCAACATCCCTGATGGGCCTACATCACTTCCAGGTCATGTTTTCGCCCGAAAACCAGAGCGTCTCCCTCACGTGCCTATGTGACTTCCCAATGTCCCCTCTAAGCTGTGGAGTCTCGTGAGCAAAAATTCTACTCTGTGAGCTACTGGCATTAAAGTTTGTGAGCGAGCGATTTGGCTGCTGCATAAATTAGTTTTGCTCTGGGGCCGTCCTTCCTGAGGGAAGACTAAAATGTGTGAGCCAGGGGCTAAAAAACTGTGAGTTAGCTAACACTCAGCTTAGAGGGAACACTGCTTCCGGGTCACGTTGGAAACGTCAGCCAATGGGCACGTGCAATGAATCTCCGCGCTCCTGGTAAGCCCACCCCCATCCCCTGCTGGCTGCCCGGAGGGACCTGGCAACACTAAATGCCACCCTAGCACCGTATTAGAGGCTTGAGCGCTCAGGGGCGGCGTCAGCATACTGTGAGATGGGGCAGCTGCCAGGGCCCAGGGCTTCTAGCAGGTTCCACTGCCGTTCAGCTCCCCGTTCCCTGATTTGTTAGGGCTCCATCCTGCTCCTGCTGCACGCAGTGTCCAGGGCCAATGGGGAAAGGGCTACAGGGAGCATGGGCGGTGGGAGAGCTCACAGGCTGGCAGCAGAATGACACCCAGGCAAGTGGGAGGCATGTGGGTAGATGGAAAGGAAGGAGGGCATGTTTGAGGGCCTGGTGGTGGGTAGAAGTGTAGAACCCTCTGCCCGGGGCCTCTCAAAACCTGGAACCAGTCCTGAGAGTGCTAGAATGTTCCGGTGTCTTCTGGCAGCTGACAGCGGTCCGTGGTAATCCACAATCCTGGTGCGTCAGAGAATTAATGTTGTGATACTGGACTGGTGTAAGGCAGGGTTCCCCAACATGGCGCCCCAACATGGCGAGCAGCCGGCAGGGGATGGGGGTGGGCTTACCGGGAGCACGGAGTACTTCCTTTGGCCCTTTTGGAAAGTGGGTGGGGCCATTATAAAGCAGGGCTTGCTATTGGCTGCCCTCATTCAAATAAAAGGGTTTTCCATTGGAGGATGGGTAAATATCCAGGCTTTCCTTAGTCTTTCCCCCTTCCGGCTTTCCTTCTTCCAAGGATATGTGAGGAGGGAGGTATTGCATTGGTATTCCATCTCCTGTGCCATCCATTTTGCCTCCAGGTGGCAGCCATTTTGAGGTGGCACTCACCAGCCATCTCAAAATTCCAAACGTTCCCACAGGATTAAAAAAGGTTGGAGACCTCTGGCCTAGAGAGCTAAGAGGATGAAGAGGACTCTGGAACTGGGCTTGATCGATGCTTACTGTCCCCCCGGCAAAGTTCAAATGTGACCCGGAAGTTATAGTCCTGTCAGGTCAGCAGAGATGGGGATGCTCTGACTTGAGGGCAAAACTCTATGGTAAAACCAGCTTAAAACCATAGAGTTTTGCCCTCAAATCAGAGCATCCCCGTGCAACTTCCCCAGTGTGATGACATCGTCATGCTGTTTGGGGATGGGATTTCCCGGCCAATGGCAGGCTTAGAAGCCCTGAAAACCAGGGGAACCCCCGCCCCCAACCTGGGGACTGGTAAGCCTACAACATAAGTACATAAACAGAACCCTGCTGGATCAGACCAGTGAGGGTCCGTCTAGTCCAGCCTCCTGTCTCACACAGTGGCCAGCCAGTTCCTCTGGAGGGCCAACAGCAGGGCAGAGAGGCCGAGGCCTTCCCCTGATAGGAACCTAAGAAGAGCCCTGCTGGATCAGACCAGTGAGGGTCCATCTAGTCCAGCATCCCGTCTCATACAGTGGCCAACCAGTTCTTTTTGGAGGGCCAACAACAGGGCAGAGAGGCCGAGGCCTTCCCCTGATAAGAGCAAAAGAAGAGCCCTGCTGGATCAGACCAGTGAGGGTCCATCTAGTCCGGCATCCC